TGTCTAGGGAGATTCTCAGTCATCCAGGTCATGGTTGTCCCAAAAATGTTTTTTTGAGAGGCAACTGGATTTTCTTTGTTTTGCTTGAAGATGTCATCTTTAATATAGATTTGGGCACAGGAAAAACAAAAAGCTACCGTATTTTTCTGAGTATAAGACGCAGTGGACTATAAGACGGACCTACCTTTTTTGGTAAGGAAAAGAAGAAAAAGAAATCTGCCTCTGCCTCCAAGCAATTTTGCCTCGTTGCAGCAAACAGCAAACAGCCTGCTTTACTTTCATTTTCATTTTCAGCATAGCTTGATTAACAGAAGAAAAAAAACCTGCTCTAGCAATTTACCTCCTTGCAGCAAGCAGCAGAGCCCTGCGCAAAACAGCTGAGAGCAAAACACCTGAGAGTTGGGAGGCTGATCCAATCAACTTGTGCTAATTAGGCTGTGCTGAAGCTGAAATGAGCTGTTTCTTCTTGCTGCTTGCTGCAAGGAGGTAACTGCTAGGAGGCAGAGGCCAAAGGGTGGGGGCCAGTGGGTAGGTGGGGCTACATTCGGTGTATAAGACGCACCTAAATTTTCACTCCCTTTTAGGGGGGGAAAAAGGTGTGTCTTATACTCCGAAAAATACGGTACTTTGCAAATATGTAAGAAAATCGGCCAAGGGGAACAGACTGTCATTGTGGCTAAAGGTACAAAGGAAGGCAAACCTGATAGAGCATGTATGTCCGTGCTTCAGTTTAAAATATCTCTATCCAGATTTTCCTATCCAGATAGTCTGTCTGGATACCTTAAAGGACAGTGGTGGGTTTCAAATTTTTTTACTATCAGTTCTGGGGGCGCGGCTTGGTGGGCGTGGCATGGCATGGCTTGGTGGGCGTGGCAGGGGAAGGATACTATAAAATTTCCATTCCCTCCCCACTCCAGGGAAAGGTTACTGCAAAATCCCCATTTCCTCCCGATCACCTGGAACTCGGGAGGCAGAGAATAGATGGGGGTGGTCCCAGTCAGAATTTTTACTACCGGTTCTCCGAACTACTCAAAATTTCCGCTACCAGGTCTCCACAACTGGTCAGAACCTGCTGAAACCCACCTCTGTTAAAGGATACTTTAAAGAAGGTTCAGTCTAAAAATGACTGGACCACCCCAGAGTAAATTATGTTTGCCTGTTGTACTTGTGACCAAGACTAGAAGGGAGGCTATGTTTTGCGTTGATCTAAATTTGAATCGGTTTACGCAATGCCAAGAATTGATGACTCACTCATTGGATAACTAGGAGAGATGGGTACATGTCAACCCTGAATCTAATGTAGGGCTATTGGCAGATCCCTTTGGAAATAACTTCAAGGAAAAAGAATGCCTTCAGTGTCCCACAGGGACTATTCTATTTTATGTGGATGCTATTTGGATTTCATGGGCCTTTGCAATCTTCTAGAATTTGATGGATTATTTTCCCTCAGGCCAAGGAAAGTTTTGTACAGTTTACCTCAACCACCCAACTGCAATTTGAGTTAGAAAAAAGATCTGTCCCACCTCAGAATTGCCATAACCAATTCTAGATGACCAATGTCAAGTCTTTGGCAACTGCTTACACCCAAAAAAAGCAAGATGCTCACAGTGTCTTCTTTAACCAGGTTAACTGAGAGTGAAAAGAGAAGGTTTTCTAGGCTATAGAAATCTTGGTAAATTGATATGCTTTGTTTGGCACCCACTTTAGCTTGAAATTTATTCTGCTGGAACATTCTCTTGCTGACCATCCTTTTCTTTTTTTTTCACTATGGAGGTGGCTATGAGTTTTCATGATCTTGCAAACATCTCTTTATCTCTTTACTGACCTCTGAGAAGCCAATTGCATCTAGTTTGATCGTTAATTTGGAAAAGTGCTATCTTGTTCTCAGTGAACCAAAGTTTCTTGGCTATATAGGGAATGGGTGAGAAATTGGATTCTATATTCTCACACAATCTATTAGAAATCAGACTCCCAGTGGAAGCAGATTATCTGTGACCCTGCTATTCAGGATTCAGAGCAGGGGTGAAATGCTCCCAGTTCAGACCGGATCGCCTGATCCGGTAGCGATGGCGGCGGGCGGTTCGGAGAACCGGTAGCAAAAATCCCTGCCTCCCCATGCCCAGCTGATCTGCATGATCATCAGAAGCTTTTTTTTTTTTAACTTTTAAAAGCATTTTTTCTACAACCTTTTCAGCCAAAAAAATGCTTTTAAAAGTAAAAAACAAAAAGCCTCTGATGATCGCGTGGCTCAGCTGGGATCACCAGAGGCTTTTAAAAGCATTTTTTTCTGCGATCTCTTAAGGTTGTAGGAAAAATGCTTTTAAAATAATAATAAAAAAAAAAGTTGGCCATGCCCACCCAGTCACATTACCTCCCCACCAAGCCACACCCACAGAACTGGTAGTAACAAATTTTACATTTCACTACTGATTCAGAGCTGATTATGGGATGGAAACAGCGTGGGTTGCTCATTGGGACACGGATGGAGGAATGCAATTGCCTGATTCCAATCAGACATCTCAGCAGCTTTCAGTACCATTAACCATGTATCTTGTTGATTCAGCTTCTAGGGCTGGGATTTGCACTGTTTTACAATATTTCCTCTCCTACCATAGTGCTTTTAGCTTGTAGTTATAGACTAGAGGAACAGTACGTGAGGCCTTGGTTACTCCAGGGAGACGTACTTCAGGGCTCAGTGCTTTTCCCCACACTATTTAACATCTGTATAAAGCTGGAGGTCAGCTACCGTTTTGGGATTAGATGTAGTCAGTTATGCATTACCAATCTGGGGTAAACCAAAGATACTGGAAAGAAAAGCTTGGATTGGTATCTTAATGGGCAAAAAAAGCACAAATTTGCTGCAAGACTGAACTGCTATATATTAGTCCTGATCAGGGGTGGGTTCTACTTACCTTTACTACTGGTTTGCAATGTGGCGGCACGCACACACTCTTCTACACACGCACAGAAGCATTTTGATGACATCAGGGTCAGTGGGTGGAGCCTCCCGCCGGTTTTACTACCAGTTCTATAGAACCGGTGCAAACCGGGGGCAACCCACCATTGGTCCTGATAGTTATTCTGGGCAAGATCATGATTCCCCTGAAGACACCCCTGTGCCACTCTTCCTGGGTTTAAACCAGTGGTGGGTTGCTACTGGTTCGCCCTGGTTTGGGAGAACCAGTAGCAGTGAAGGCGGGAGTCTCTGCCCACCTGCCCGGACATCATCAAATATGTTCTGCACATGTGAGCGAACTAGTAGCAAAGGTAAGTGAAACCCATCACTGGTTTAAACAACAGGGAGAGAGTGTGGTCAGCATGGTCTTTGCTCATGTTTGGTTGGAAGAAAAGTTATGATGTTACCTGTACTGGAATCCTCCAGCATTGGTAAATCATGCTTTAATCATGATTTGTTGATCAGAAAGGTCAGCAGTTCGGCGGTTCGAATCCCTAGTACAGGTCTCTTGCATGAGCAGGGGGTTGGACTAGATGACCTCTAAGGTCCCTTCCAACTCTGTTACTGACTGGGTTACTGTAATGTCCACTACAGGGAACAGCATTTGGAAAAATTACAACTGGTGACATGGACCCCACAATGGATCAGTTCCACCATTGCAAGCTAACACCTCTCTTGAACTCACTGCACAGGTTATCAATAGGCCTCTAGACTCAATTCAGATATTGATCTATATCAGAGTTTCTCAATCTTGGCAGCTTTAAGACGGGTGGAGTTCAATTCCCAGTATTCCCCAACCAGCATTGCTTTAAGGTGCATGGATTCAACTCCCAGAATTCCCCAACCAATAGGCTTTAAGATGTCTGGACTTCACCTCCCAGAATTCCCTAGAATTCCTTTGCTGGAATTCTGAGAGTTGATGTCCACACACCTTAAAGTAGGCAAGATTGAGAAACACTGCTCTATATAATCCTATATGGCAGAGGATCTAGTTACATTGGACCCTGCCTTGCCAAAATTACATTTGTCTGTCAAGGGAAGCACCTCAGAAAGAGCTGTTAAGAGCCTCCACCCCCTTAAAGTGAAATCATAGTTCTTTTAGAAAACATTTGTTTCGTGCATTTCATCTTTGTAAGAAGCATGTTGTCAAACTAGCATTGACCTGTGTCTCATCTGAGTCTGTACTATCCCAGAATCCACGGTAGTCCCACAGGGAAATCAGTGCTTGGAGGTAGAACATCTACTCTGTATGTAGAAAACCCAACTTCAAGTTTTGGCATGTTCTGATGAAAAGGATCAGTAGCAGACCAGGGGTCAAATGCTTCCAGTTCAGACCGGATTGCCCAATCTGGTAGCGATGACAGCAGGTGATTCGGAGAACTGGTAGCAAAAATCCCTGCCCACCCCCCATGCCCAGCTGAGCCGCGCAATCATCTTCGGCCGAAAAAATGTAAAAAAAAAAGCCTCTGATGATCGCGCGGTTCAGCTGGGATCATCAGAGCCTTTTAAAAGCATTTTTTCTACAATCTCTTCAGCCGAAGAGGTTGTAAAAAAAAATGCTTTTAAAAGGCTCTGACGATCCCAGCTGAGTCAGAGCCTTCGGTAGAAAAAATGCTTTTAAAAGACGCTGACAATCAGGCAACTCAGCTGGGATCATCAGAGCCTTTTAAAAGCATTATTTTACAACCTCTTCAGCCGAAGAGGTTGTAGAAAAAATGCTTTTAAAAGTATATATATATAAAAAAGTCACCCACACTCACCCAGTCACATTACACCGCCCCCAAGCCACGCCCACAGAACCGGTAGTAACAAATTTTACATTTCACCACTGGGAAAGACCTTTTACTGCTGGAGAGTTGGCTACTCAGGTGGATGTACTGCAGGATGAGCAAAACTCTCCATAGATTTCGCAAAAACTGGAATTACGCAGTTGCTTGGTCTTCATCTTGCCAAGAAGTTACGGTCAGGATGCTAGTTGTATTCACAATGAATATTACAAAATAGCAAACTTATCACATCCATTATCATTTTTTTTTTCTTACAGGTCCAGGCAGCAAGAAGAAAGCTTCAGGACCCTGTGGCCATCTAGGATCCTTGACTGCTCTCAAATATGCTGTGGTTGGTCTCTACTTGCTGGTGTTCCTGATCTTTGTGGGACTTTTTATCCTAGCAGGTAAGAATCAGACCAATATTGAAGCAGCTGCTTGTCCAAAAAGAGAGTTCCAAAACTTTTTGGCAGAGCAGGAGTGACTTGCCTTCTCATTCCTGTCTATCAAACAGATTGCCATGGGCTAATAAGAGGGCATTTAAGTTACCCTTGGTTTAGCGTATAGGAAATTGGAGAAATAGTTGCTGCTGATTCAAATAAATTGTGTAAAAATGGGGTACTTATTATTTATTAATTTTTTTATTGGGTTTTAATAATTAAACAATTCTTATTCAACTCTTGTACATGACTGTGACCATTTACATAACATCACATACTCTATATAATTTTACAAAATCTACTATCTGTTATTTCCCTTTTTTTCTATCTTCAATCCAATTATACCATTTCTCCCATATTACCTAAAAGTCCGAATCCATCAGTCCTTTCAGTTCCAATGTCATTTTATCCATCTTGGCGCAATCTAATATCTTTCTAATTATTAAATCTTCAGAGGGTATGTTTGAACTTCTCCAACATTGCGCAAATACCAATCTTGCCGCCGTTGTCATTTGTAGAATAATATATGTTGTTGTTTTTTCATATTTCTTTTCGTTATTCCTAGAAGAAACAATTCTGGTGTATATTCTATCTGGAAGCCTGTTACTTCCTGTATCCATCTATGTATTTTCATCCAATATTTTTTTGTTTCGGAGCATATTTATTAATTTTTTTTTATGCTGTCCCTCTCTCCTGTAAAGTGAATCTGGGTAGTTTACAAATTATAAAATATGTATTGTAGTTTTTGGAGTATAAGATGCACCTTTTTCCCCCATAAAAGAGGCTGAAAATTTGGGTGCGTCTCATACTCCGAATGTAGCTTTTTTGAAGCTTTTTTTTTCAGCCCTAACGGGGCGCTAGCAAATGATCTTCCCAGCTTTGCCTGCTCCCTCGACTCTCCACTGTGCTTTAACAAGGTGTTAGCAAGTGAAGCGATCTCCATGCTTTGCTCCAACTCTCAGTTGTTCTTTAGAAGCTTTTTTTCAGCCCTAACTAGGTGCTAGCCAAGTGAAGCGATCTCCCCGTGCTTTGCCTGCTTTTATCCCCAAGCAAGGGATAAAAAATCAGCAAACTAATGTGCTGAAGCTGACCAGACTAAGGACGCTAGCTAGATGAATACCTGGTAGGAAGTTTCCACCACCCCCCTATTTTCCTCCCCAAAAACTAAGATGCGTCTTATACTCTGGTGTGTCTTATACTCTGAAAAATACGGTAATTAAAGTATTAAAACATTAAAACTACACTGTATATGATTTTAAAACTATACTGAAACCAGAGCCAAGATATCACAGATGGGCCTGAGGTCTTATTATCTAGTCAGTTATCTATTCTTATTATCTAGTTCACCTCCAGAGGTGAACAATCCCTTGGAACTCCAGTTTTAATACCCTCCCAGAAGCCAAAAGGGTGGGAGCAGTTATTACCGTTGGTGGTAGAGTGTTTCACAGGGGTGGGACCACTGCAGAAAAGGCTCTTCTCCGTGAACCCACCTGCCGGAGTTCCTTAGCAGACGGGATCTGTAGCAGGCCTCTTCTACTGGCAGGAGTGTGATGGGCTAGTGCCATTGGGGAGAGATGGATCCTCGGATAACCTGGACCCATGTCATGTAGGACTTTAAAGGTAACAACCAAAACCTTGAATTGGATCAATTTCATTATGAAATAATACCCATGTTCTCATCCCAGGGATCACCATCCAGTTCTCCAGATCCATTCTGTACTCGTGTTTGATATGTTCTCTTTATGTCGCCCTGCTTTGTTTCAGGAGCCAAGAATATATTTGATCTTTATTATATATGTGAAAGGAATAGTTATGCTCTGGTTTGATACTAATAATTCATAAGGGGCTCACCAGCACATAAAACAATCTGTGATTACGCAGGGCATGGTACTTTAAAATCTATATACAGATGAACTTGTCCATTGGGAAGGGACATAGCTCTTTGCGTAGAACATACTCAGGTGTCTCCAACATAATTGCTCAATAATTGGCTCTTTTGTTTGGTTTCTTCCCTTCCTCCTTAACATAATAATCATATTTGTTTTCATAATTGTATTTTGGAATCCATATTTACTCAAACTCTTTGACCTAATTATCCCTATTTCTAATCTCAGATGATATCATTACACCTATAACTCCCCTTTTATGACTCTCATCCCATAACTAACTTGGGGTAAAGTCAGGGCGACTGGATGGAGCTGAGGGTTTACTGGCAGGATGCCCTTCCTGCCGCCACATGGAGTTCACTGCAGATATTCTTTTTTTTCTTTGCCCACCAGGGGAGAGAAATATCTGCCGCTACCTAGGATTGAACTCTCAACCTTCCGAACGGGAAGCGATTAGCTTCACCACTAGGCCACCATGACACTCATCATTACACCTACAACCCTTCCCCAAAATGCTATTTTTTGGCAGTGGCACTGGCACTGGCAGGCCCACTGGATCCTCAGAAACAATTATACAATATTCTATTATCTTCAGTTTAAGAACCACTGGCTTAAAAAATTTCCATTACAATAATTAGAAAAAAATAGGACCAAATAGACACTGAATCAAAGAGGTAAGGACACAAAATAAGGCATGTTGTTTCTGAATATTCCAGTCTGTTTCGATCCGATCCATTTAATCAACATCCTTGTCTTCATACAGTGAAACCTTTCTGCTCTTCTTTTTCTGTTCTTGTCACTGCCAAAGGGGATTCGGAGTAGAGGTACAGATAGATAAAGATGTAAAGAAATAGCTCAGTGATTATCATCAGACTGGCAGCGGCAAGGTTCCTATATTTAGGCAATAAGCTGAGTGAGATTTGTGGGTGACCACAAACCAACCCCAAGAGATTTGATGCTCCATCTCTGGATTTGTGGATTGGGAAGCTGCCACTATAACACATTTCCAGAATATCTGGGAAGATGTAAGTCAAATCTCTCTATTTCTGCTAAGAATATGGGCCCTGACCAGAGGTGGTATTCAACAGGTTCTGACCAGTTCTGGAGAACCGGTAGCGGAAATTTTGAGTGTTCAGAGAACTGGTAAATACCACCTCTGACTGGCCCCGCCCCCATCTATTCTCTGCCTCCCGAGTCCCAGCTGATCGGGAGGAAATGGGGATTTTGCAGTAATCTTCTCCTGGATTGGGGAGGGAATGGAGATTTTACAGTATCCTTCTCCTGCCACACCCAGCAAGTCATGCCCACCAAGCCATGCCACGCCACGCCCACAGAACCGATAGTAAAAAAAATTGAATCCCATCACTGGCCCTGACCCCAAAACTTCTGGGAATCTAAATATTGTATGATGACCCATCAGAAGAACCAACTTGCAGTTTCATTTATTTCCCCTTTCCTGAAATCGTATTCCAAAATGCTGTTAAGGACGCAGAGGCATCCGTTGTTGCCACTGTTGCATTGGAGCACTAGCAGTCAACATTTTGACAAGCACATCATGGTAAAGCCCAAACAGAATTCAGAGTACATATTGTGCGCCTTCAATATAAGCTTCCCCCTTCATCTTAGAATAGCTTGCCTCAACCCTACCATATCAAGAACAGTCATGAGCACAGTGTGAAGGGAAAGTGTTGCTGGCCAAGCTGTATGCCAAAGCAGACCCTTAGATCAAGAATTGGCATCTATAGGTATATGCTGAAGCCAATGTACTAGCAGGATTCATGGATGATTGCAGCATAGTAGCTGACATTTGACATTAAATCTGACAATGAAAAGTTTGCCATTTTAATACACAATAGTGGGTTGTTGACCTTCTCAACAGGTCCATCCTGTTCTTTCCTTCCTGCCAATATGGGCCACTGGAACGTCTGCCATTCCAGAATCTGCTCAGTTATGTGAATAAAATTAATAAACAGGATCAGAGAGACAACAGCCAACAGATCATGAGGTGATGGAGAAGCAACCATCTATGAATAAATTCCTCCATGCTAAACCATGGTTTGTTTGCTGAATAAATCATGCGAAGCCATATCTCATGGTTCACAAGTGAAAATACTAGGCCCATACAGTATGCTATGCCATCACGTTTCTTGGACAAAACTGAATTGATGTGCACCCCAGAGTGCAATGGATTGCAGTCCTATTTCATACCAGCTGAAGACACCATTTTCTGGCCTAGATAAACCGTCTATTCACAGCATAATTCCTTTCATCTCTGCTTTTGTTTCAAGGTTCCTGACTTTCGTTCAAGTCAGGTCCAGCCTGTCACTTGCTGTGTTGGGGTTACAACTCAGGCAATATCAATATCAATAGCATTTAGGCTTATATACCATTTCACAGTGCTTTACACCTCTCTCTAAGCAATTTACAGAGTCAGCATGTTGCCCCCCTCACCCCCCCACCAGCAACCTGGGTTCTCATTTTACTGACTCCTGAAGGATGGAATTCAAGTCAACCTTGAATCGGTGAGAATTGAACTGCCGAACTGCTAGCAATCAGCGGTCAATAGAATTAACCTGCAATAATGCATTCTAACCAGTGTACCACCACGGCTCTTGATTCATGGTAGATTGATTCAGGCTGTTTTGACTCCAAAACTCTTAACTCATGTAACAGAAATGAAGGTGATAAATATATCTGGGTGTCATTTCCTCTATGGGTTGGCAATGAAATGCTCAGACAGGACTGGGAGAAAGATAGGACTTGGATGGTCATTTCCCCTGCTTTTCTTTCCCATCTTTGCAGGACAGCTAAGCATTATTGGACATCCAGGTTGTCACCAGGTTTCTTGGGCTTTCCTTTTCATTTGAAGGATTGGTCTCAAGTGTTTGCTTTCTTTTATAGTAACCCACCACTTGCCTTTCTAAATTCTGCCACTTTATAAAATCCGCTTATTTCTCCTTTTATTTATTATTCTCTACTGTGAAACTTCATTTGAAATGTCATTGCATTGATTTGCCTTTTCATGAAAACTCTTGGTATTTCTGAGGAACAATGCTGAGCTGAAAGACAAGATGGCACCAT